TCCCAGTTAACGAGGTGCAACCGCCGCGTGGTCGTTGGTGCTGATGAGCTGTGCTTCGGCACTCTAATATGCAAGTGGGCAAGAATCGCAAAATGGTCACTCATGTCTAAGTATACTGTTTCACAGTTGCCAACCGGTGGAGCTGATGAAAGGAGTAAATTCAGCAGCTTAGCTGAATGGGAGGTCACTCAGGTGTGAGATGTTACATAGTTGGAAAGGTTGAAGCGGCTGATAATCGAGCACAGAGGTACTGCAGATGGTTGACCATGGGCAAAGTCCACATTGAAGTCGCTGACAATCGTGGTAGACTTTTGCCGGCCTTCCACAGCTCACTCGATGTTGTGTTCTACAGTCCATTCATAAAAAGATGGGCCCTGGCTCTGGCCAGCTCCCGTATTTGGCGATTTTTCGTGATTTCATCGTACTCAGTGCAGTGCTGCGAAATTTGAAATTTGAAAAAAAGGTCCAAAACGGGTACCTGAACTGGAGTTCGAACCGCACAATGCACTGTCGCAGGCGGGTTCAAACGACCTGAGTTTTTATGGTTTTCCCAATTCAGTGCTTTCGGGGCAAAACCTGGCCGAAATCCTATTCTTGTTATGGCTTGCTTTTTGGACAAAAAAACTTCAGAAACATAATTGGAAGAGTCCATAGGGGATTGCAGAAAAAAAATCTTAAAATACTCACAGTTTGACCCATTTATGGCCAACAGCTAGAAGTCCATCTTTTTTCTGAATGGAGTGTAGTGATGCTCAGAAGGCAGCTGGGCTGTTAGGTGGCCGGTAACAGCAACCAATAACATGGGAGTCATGGCCGGGAACTATAACCTCAAGCCATAGTAGTTCCAGCTCAGTTTCCAGATCGAAGCGGCGATGAACAGCCAGAGACTCGTGGCAGTATACGGCTACTCCACCACCAGGACGATCTGGTCTGTCCTTGCGAAACAATTTGAAATGTGGTATAGCTACTTCACCATCACTGATATCCGGCTTCAACCAAGTTTCCGCGGTTCCAAGAAGATGTATACCTCTGGAGGACACATACTCCTGGACCTCAGACACCTTCCTCCGCAGGCTGCACACATTGAAGTACATATTTTGCCTGGACACACAGATGTGTACGTTCTTTCATTCATCTAGTGTAGTCACAGTTAGTCATATGGTATTTTATACATGCCAACCGTCCAGGGTAGGCAGTTCCCAAATCGGCCAGATTTTTCGCCAAATCGGCTTTTCGATCGGCTAAGAGAATGTCCAAATTCAGCCATATTATGAGCCCGAAAGTCAGAATTCGACTCAAAGCAGTAGTTGAAGTCACCGCTCTCAATGCAGTGTACATTTACCTGCATGCTTTAGAGGCATTAAAACATCGATTTTCTGCGAATTCAGTGCGGAATTTGTAAATTCGGCGCAATTATCGGCGATTTCTTCACAGCCATTGATTTCGACGTCTTTTCCTGTTGGCCGATTTCGGAAATGACTCAAGTAGCAGTCACCTGTTGCAGTATAATAGCAACAGAAATTGTATTTGCATGTTGTAGAGGCAACAAAACATCGATTATCGGCAAATTCAGTGGGGAAATTGTATATTCGGCGAAAAGATCGGTGATTTCCTCAAGACCACAGTTTCGGCGAATTTTTCGGCCGGCCGATTTGGGAAATGCCTAGTCCAGGGTTTCGCCGGAACAGTTCAGGGAATAGGGAGCTTGTGACGGGGGCCGGAGATGTCCTGCAAAAGTCCAGGATTGAGTTGGAACTTTTGAAATCGAAGTTCTCCTTTTTATGACGCTTTCTCAGTGTTTCCTCGATCTTGTACATGTAGATCGGTTGTAATTACACACAGCCCGTAGTAGCACATAGTATACTAAGTTATGGAACTGCAATGGATCACCGGTATAATGGTAGTCCACAGATAATTTATTTGTACAGTTACAGCTCAATGCAATGAGGCGCCCTTTGCTTTAACGTTATAACGGCAGTCATGAAAAATACATCTGCTAATGATGGGTGCGCTAAAAAAATTTGTGTGGAGGAAAAGCGTTGAAAATCAAGGGAGTTCAGCCTCCTCGTCCAGGGAACTCAAGCCTCCAGGCTGGCATGTATGCATGTTGCTCGCTTGCGATGACTCGTTGTGCCAACTTCGTAAAGTGTGTCGTGTGAGTACAGCCAACAGGTGCAGTTGCTTGGTAGGTGCCATCTTTTCCAGAATAGACATCTTACACTTTCTTTACCGTAAACGTCAGGGCCAATATAAAGCGGGTGCGACTTACTATCGAGCATGCCTTGCAACTTTTAAAATATGAACAATTAAAACAGAGAGGTTCCAGACTGTCCAAGAGAGTGCTCAAAACCGAGAGGTAGAGCTGGTTCAAACAATAGGAGGACAGAGAAAGTGTTTTTACTCCGAGTTTCACGCACTAAGCGATCATCAGAAAACAGTACTGAGAAATCTGGATCAGTATTGGTTTATATACAAAACAAAGTGTAAATTGCTGCAGCATGGCGCAAATCTAAAAGTTGTGAATGGCGGCAGTGCAAAGCGTAAATGACTGCATCATGGAGCAAATCTAAAAGTGTGAATCACACCAGTGACCGACTTTTAGTGTACCAAGTGCCATATCGGACCTGCACACAACGACCAAAACTAGCCTAAAGTGCCAACTTGGCTTGCAGGGCTGACTGCAACAGGGTTGAGGTGGGCTCTGAAGCAAGTTTTTATGCAGTCAACAGAAGTGACAAATGACAGTGCAGGATGAGGTGTTCTTAGCCTGCACGAAAGTATTCTATGCTCCGCGCCTCTCAATATGAGTACATGGAAGTACAATCATACACAGAGGGTGTGCGCCTTAACCTGCAATAGTGCTCAAATGCCCGGAATGGGCAGAGCGTAGTACGCAAGAGGTACACAAAAGGAAGTATATAGGGCTGTTTTTGTTGTAACTCAGAGTTTCATGGCAAAAACCAATCATCAGACAACATAAGGAGATTAGAAAACGCAGGCATATGAAGCCAAGCAGAGGAGATAGAATAATTCAGTGCAGACAATATGATAATCATTCAACACCTCCCAGAGGCAGTACGCTCTGACGTGCCAGAATCAACATCTCAGGTGCTGGGTGACACATGAACACGCACACTCATCCACACACAGCCTCTCGTTCTCACACACTCCACACTCCCGCATTATCACACCTAAACACACGCGCACGCACACACACACACACACACACACACACACGCACCAAACACACACACGCACCAAACACACACATGCACCACACACACATACACACAGCCTCTCGTTCTCACACTCTCCACACTCCCGCATTATCGCACCTAAACACACACACACGCGCGCGCGCCAAACACACACGCACCACACACACATACACAGACACACACACACATACACACACACACGCCAAACCCATAGCAGGTCATACACATGTATGTACACGATCCGATACGCCACGACTGTATGGGATCTGGTTCTAAAGACTACCTGGCTTTTGCTTGCACAGTGGAGTTGTTGCTTAAACCAGGTTTTACTGTGTGTGAAAATGAGCCTGTACGATTGACTCCCATGTTTGTAGCACAGTTTGTTTCGGCCGTGGGGAATTCCCCAGTCCAACCACAAAGCGACTGGTATTCAGAAACGTTGGAAACTGATTTCGAAAGCATGTTCACACTGGATATTTGGAGCGAAGATGCAGACCCTAGGTCGGCGGAGCTCCCTAAACCTCACCACCACTGCCACGATTCAGGTTGTGCGTACTTCCCCTAGCTGCATTTCATGTTTGGCATATTATAACTGGTCTTTGTAAAATTAAAAAACAAAAAAAAAACAAAACAAAACATGCAGTCACATGTTTGCTTTAATCTTCTTCATCTTTTATTGAGAGTCTAGCCGTATAGTTAGAGGAGAAGGCAGGCATGCCTGTGTATCTGGTGAAGTAAAATAAAAACAAACAAACAGCCATGGCAGCATTGCAAAAGAAGGTATGTTCAACCTGAACATTGCAGCATTTTTTTTTTTAAGTCACTGGTCAATGAGGCAGAGGTCAAGGCATGAGTAGAGGTTTGCAGTACGAACAGCGAGCCAGTACTTCACCTTGCAGAAACATCAGCTTCAGCCCGCCACAGGCTAATGCTGACATGTGTTGTATGCCGTGGGAAAGCATTGTAAACGTCTAGGTCGCCGACATACCACCTGCGCATTTTAGATGGTTTTGAAGCCTCAAGACAACTTTGTATGGTGTTTGCTCGGATGATGACTACACATAGCAGTATGGTCAAAGCATGGCTCTCCTCTAGCCCAGATCAGTGATTTGATTTCTGGTGGTCACCCAGGTGAAATTCAGTTTTTCAGTCTACTTCACTTTTGTTTCATCAAGCTATTCAACATTAATTTTGTTAGCTAGTGGTGAACTTTGCAGCTCGGAAAGAAGACCGGCTAAACCTGCTGCGTTTTTCTGCTCTACCCTGTTCACTGCACCATGTTAGATTGTTAAGTAGCCAAGAGCCAAGTGGCATTTTAGAATACACAAAGTAGAAAAAAACTGAGAAAGGTTCTATCTTTACAGATAAGAGACGCGGTGAGACACTAACTTTATTATGGCGGTCAGCAGAACCAGAGAAGTGGACATTGGACGTAGTAATGAACACAATAAAATGTGGATAATAAAATGCATTTCGTACTCTTCCACGTATATTATTGTTGTTTATTACTAGATTTCATTATGGAGACGCATTTCCCTGATGAATGTCTCTAGACAAGTTGTTAGGAAATTTTCGTTATCCATATTATCTTTTGTTGATTACCACGTCCAATGTCCGCTTCGTTGATTCTGCTGATTCTATCTTTAAACGAAAGGAGAAAAAAACTCTCAAAAGAATGCATGTGTACAAACACCGTAGAGGTAAAGATGGACAGGACAGTACGTCGTAACAAAACATCCAACATCGGGTATTTTTGGCCTGTTGCTTTTCTTCTCCCTGCAGCCTCTCGTCACATTTTGGGGAATGACGCGGGCAACGTGTACTCCAATACAGTTTACAGCCTTGAATTGGCAAAGAGAGATTCTGGTGCACCGGACAAGGCCAACAGCAACCAGTACGTCATCAATTTCTCCACGGCGACAACGAAGAGCAACACAGCATGCCGCCGCTCACCCAAAGCCAACAAAGCTAGCATGTACCAGCGTGTGCTCGGGCTAGCCTTAAAGAAAAGCGCTCGTTCTGACCACACGAGTGCTAGTACTAGTGAAAGTCTATCAGCCGAGGCGATACATGATGATTCCCATGACAATCGTTCCCCGGCCAGTGTAGCGACTTTCACTAGCTGCAATTCTAGTGAACAAACCACTGGCCGACCCAAACTTGTAACTGGAGACACTGAGGAGACTCCATGCAGCCTCAGCGGTGACAGTAAGCACGACGCTGACATCTACGGCAATGAGAGTGGTGATGACAGTGATGTGGATGGCAATGTCATCGACGCTGACATCTACGGCAATGAGAGTGGTGATGGCAGTGATGTGGATGGCAATGTCATCGACGCTGACATCTACGGCAATGAGAGTGGTGATGACCGTGATGTGGATGGCAATGTCATCGACGCTGACATCTACGGCAATGAGAGTGGTGATGGCAGTGATGTGTATGACACGTGCGTCAACGACAGCAGCGGTGCAGGTGCGAGTAATACCATTGGTGGACACGGGATTACAGAGAATATATATCAATGTGGTGAAGTTGCAAGTTACAGCGACAACGTTGCAGAGAATGTATATCAATGTGGTGAAGTTGCAAGTTACAGCAACAACGTTGCAGAGAATGTATATCAATGTGGTGAAGTTGCAAGAGACAGCAACACCATTACAGAGAATGAATATAAGTGTTATGAAGGTGCAAGTGATCCCATTGCTAGAAATGCGATTGCAGAGAATGAATATCAATATTATGGTGAAATTACAAGTGGCAGCAAAGCAATTGCAGAGAATGAATATAAGTGTGATGAAGGTGCAAGTGATACCATTGCTAGAAATGTGACCACAGAGAATGTATATTATCAATATGGTGAAGTTGCAAGTGGCAGCAATGCGGTTGCAGAGAATGTATATCAGTGTGATGAAGGTGCACGTGATACCATTGCTAGAAATGTGACCACAGAGAATGTATATCAATATGGTGAAGTTGCAAGTGGCGGCAATGCGGTTGCAGAGAATGTATATCAGTGTGATGAAGGTGCACGTGATACCATTGCTAGAAATGTGACCACAGAGAATGTATATCAATATGGTGAAGTTGCAAGTGGCGGCAATGCGGTTGCAGAGAATGTATATCAGTGCAGTGGAGATTCAAGTGACGCTGGTGTTAGAAATACGTATCGTAACTTCCCTAAAAGCAGCCCCAATCGCAGTGGCGCTGTGCAGACTTCTCCTCCCGCTCGGCAGCAGGTTGATAACAGCACTCGACAGCATCAGACCGTGTCTAAACCTCAGTTACCTTCAAGTGCGCGGCCCTGTCTAGCATTTCCGCCAGTGCAGCCCAAATCTCCACAACCGGGTGTATAATCACACTGAACACTGGGCAATATTATTATTCTCGTATCCGTCCCGAATGGAACTCACGACGGCAGAATTGACTGTGAGCAGGTGTGTGTGAGAGTGGGAAAACGAAATGAAAAAGAAAGGGAGAGTCTTGTAATAGAGGTCAAATTTAAGAAGAGCAGTACAAGACTAAATGGCTGAGCAGATGTTACCCCATTGTTTTCTATCGCGGACATAGCTGCCGAGATCACGAAGGCACTGGACAATAGGTGGTCAGGATTCAACAAGAGCAGCTGCATCCAGGCTCCGGCTGACACTATCATCGGTCATGTCCTTTGAGTAACCAGAGACAACACGACACCTGTTCTATCTCTTAAACTGTCAAAATAATATTATATAGGATAGATTATATGGAATACTATTGTTCCAATTTTCGTCTGATAAACGATTAATTTCGTGAAACTCAGGGTTACGAAACCGCAACTGCTCGTTCTCCTGTCTGTAAAGGATACTATAGAACTTAAATTTAAAAAAATCGTAATGATATTAGCACATCATTATGAATTTGACAAACTGGAATACTACACTATTATTATCTTAAACATAATTATACTGTACCATAACTTTATACCCATCATATTTGGCATCTCTCTGACCAACCTTTGGTGAACTGGAGAAATATAATCATCGGATAATTCTTCTATTGCATCTAAGTTAACGTCACAGTATCTATTTGCCAATGTATTTGTATTTGTATTTATGGATTCTCCACAGGCCTTTAATAGCCTAAATCAATACCGGCGTCATGGTTTTTGTGGCTGCCCATTTGGCTTGCAGATCCGCCCGGATATTATTTGTTCGTTCAGCGTATGCGAACATTTGGATTAATCCATGTGAACACGAGAATGCATATTATTATTATTTTTATTATTATTATCATTAACTGGTTTGAGGGGAAATTATTATTATTATTCATAAGTCCATGGTAAAAAATAAAGTTGATTCTCTGGTCATGAGCCTGTGAAAATCGGTGCGAGCGAGCGATTTTTTATTTTATTTCCCACAATTTTTTTATTTCCAAAGATAGGGTCACACATTATGTACATAGTCATGACGTCACATGTTCATAATAATTCAGGCTGGGGAGTAGTAAAATACCGGTATTTTACTACTCCCTGATTCATGCCTTTCGCATTGACCGTTTTCCTGCGCGCATATGCATGCATAGAAATTTAAAAAATCGTCGGTGCGCGCGTACTTGAGAATCAAAGATAATTTTTACCATAGCCTAACTCCAATTACCGTAAAGTCGCGGATAAAACCCGGTTTTGCATACAAGCACATCGCGGATAGAAGCCTGAAAGTCAAACGGGTCAAATGCATATAAGCCTGTTGCGCGTAGAAGCCTGGCTTCTGTGCAAGCGCGGATCGGGTAGGTCAAGAGTGCATGCACTATGTACAGTGCATAGTAAACGTGAATACAAGCCTGGCAAAAAAATATCAGTAGTGCATATAAGCATGGTTTGCATTAAAGCCTGATGCAGAAAGCGGCTTATGTGCTTATAAGCCCGGCTTTTATCCGCGACTTTACGGTAGTAACTTCGGCTCGGCTTTTCTTTTTTCTTTCTTTCATGTTTTGAACTATGTGTTAACTCACTGGATTTCTTTGTATTCTGTATCTAGTTATCGTCATCTTTTCCTCTAGCCCTCTCGCTTAGGCCGTCATCACACCACGTTCTCCAACTCCCGTTTACGTCTACGTCTATGGTGAAAAAACCAAAACGGGTGGTCGTGTCATCAGACAGGCACAGTTCTTGACGCGTACACGCAGTCCGGTTTTGGAGAAATTTGAACCCACGTACATCAAAGTACAGGGTAGCTCGGAAAAAAAGGCTGGGGGACATACGCACGTTCATACAAAAAGCCGTATACCCCCCCCCCCCCTCTCCATACCACGTCCACGTCTCCCGTTTCCTCTGCTCCCGTTTTCACCCCGTATACGGATCATCATGACAACCGACCAAAAACTCCTTACGTGGACGTAGACGCAGCGCTTTGTAGCATGGTATGATGACAGCCTTAGGCCGTCATCACACCACGTTCTCCGACTCCCGTTTACGTCTACGTCTATGGTGAAAAAACCAAAACGGATGGTCGTGTCATCAGACAAGCACAGTTCTTGACGGGTACACGCAGTCAGGTTTTTGGAGAAATTTGAACCCGCGTACATCGAAGTACAGGGTCGCTCAGAAAAAGGCTGGGGGAGATACGCACGTTCATACAAAAAATCGTATACCCCCCCCCCCCCCCCTCTCCATACCACGTATACGTCTCCCGTTTCCTCTGCTCCCGTTTTCACCCCGTATACGGATCATCATGACAACCGACCAAAAAACTCCTTACGTGGACGTAGACGCAGCGCTTTGTACCATGGTGTGATGACAGTCTTAGGATGAGCCTTTTTTACGGAAGCTTAAGCGAGGGCTATATACCTTCTTTTTTGCAGGTTGTTGCCAACGCGAACAAGCAAAATAATAATAATACTGTAAATTTTTTAAAAGAGGTCGGAGGCGGATAATACTTTAAAACGAAGGTAAGTTATGGGTCGCAAATATCCACGCAAACACACATCCAGTCATAATAAGGCACTTGTCATAAGTATCCGAACGTTTTCGGTCCCTTCTCATCAAGGATTATACAGGGAATGGCTCAAGCTGGAAAGACTAAAACTTATATAGCGTAAAGATAATTAGATAACAACACTCGTGACAAGGTGGAAAATTATCAAGTTTAGCACGACACAAAACTCGAAGGAAAATAATAATAGTGACAACAACATAGTGAGCAAATTAAGTTACATTGTTACCACCTCGACGAGGAGTAACACCAAACAATTGTAGCGACAACACATTTTCTTTCTGTACGCAAAGTTCAGGATCTAACTTACGGATATACAAAGCTTCTAACACAGCCAAATGTAACGCACATCTACCACGTGACAATATTGAGAAAACATTATCACTGTACAACTCACGACAATTGGTACGGGCTGACAGATGTTGCTTGATTGACGAAGTGCGATTCTTAGCTCCATTGGGTGTTGTCTCCTCCAATGTCCCGTCATCTCGCCTCTTCGTGGCATCACCACTATCTGTCTCTTTGCGTTTCCGCGGCCTTCCACGTTTCTTGACACTAACCGTTGGGTGCGCGATACCCGGTGTCCTTTCCGTTACGTCTCCTCCATTGCGGATTTCTATTGAGCTTCTTACTCCAACTTGTCCGGTGTCCGATATTGAGGTTAGTTTCCGCGGTCTACCACGTTTTCGAATATTGACTGTTGTTGTCACTTCCGTTGTCGTTGTACGTTCGTCCTCATCAGTCACATAGTGACTCATCAGTGACTCATCAGTGACATAGTGCACATAGAATATGTTCCCCTCATCTATTGCAGGACGAATTAGACAGACTGACATCAATATTTACGAACAACGGCTATCCAAAGGAATTTCTGGCCAAGCTAATCAACGAAAAACCGGTGACAGACAAGCCTATCCAATTTGGACCTGACCGTTGCCCAGTGGTGCTCCGTTTACCCTGGGTTGGCACCGGTTCTGCGCGCGTGGAGAAGGATGTTCATGGTATCGTATGTCCATCATATCCGTGCGTCAAGCTGTACGTCATATTTGGGACAGTGCGTGCGTTCAGTGTGAAGAAGGATGTTCTACCTACCCTTAGTAAAAGTAACCTTATCTATTTCTTTCAATGCCGACAATGTGAAGATCGGTATGTAGGTAGAACCCTTCAGCACCTGGGCGCACGCATTCGTCAACATGTGCCGTTAAGTTGTGTTCCGCTTGATGCGCGCGATTGTCGTCCTCGCCGTGGTCGTCCTCCAAAATGTGCTGTCCAGTCCATCGGTGGATCTTCCTCTTCCCGTGAAGATGTGACTGCATGCCCATCCTTCTCTGCGTGTGTAGGACACGGGCCAGCTGAGAACAGCATAAAAGATGGTGCAAGACCCACACGTAAACCACCGAAACTGACAAAGGATCTGTCGGCGTCGGAAAGGGTGACGAGAAGCCAAGTGAAAATACGGACTGATGAGGACGAACGTACAACGACAACGGAAGTGACAACAACAGTCAATATTCGAAAACGTGGTAGACCGCGAAAACTAACCTCAATATCGGACACCGGACAAGTTGGAGTAAGAAGCTCAATAGAAATCCGCAATGGAGGAGACGTAACGGAAAGGACACCGGGTATCGCGCACCCAACGGTTAGTGTCAAGAAACGTGGAAGGCCGCGGAAACGCGAAGAGACAGATAGTGGTGATGCCACGAAGAGGCGAGATGACGGGACATTGGAGGAGACAACACCCAATGGAGCTAAGAATCGCACTTCGTCAATCAAGCAACATCTGTCAGCCCGTACCAATTGTCGTGAGTTGTACAGTGATAATGTTTTCTCAATATTGTCACGTGGTAGATGTGCGTTACATTTGGCTGTGTTAGAAGCTTTGTATATCCGTAAGTTAGATCCTGAACTTTGCGTACAGAAAGAAAATGTGTTGTCGCTACAATTGTTTGGTGTTACTCCTCGTCGAGGTGGTAACAATGTAACTTAATTTGCTCACTATGTTGTTGTCACTATTATTATTTTCCTTCGAGTTTTGTGTCGTGCTAAACTTGATAATTTTCCACCTTGTCACGAGTGTTGTTATCTAATTATCTTTACGCTATATAAGTTTTAGTCTTTCCAGCTTGAGCCATTCCCTGTATAATCCTTGATGAGAAGGGACCGAAAACGTTCGGATACTTATGACAAGTGCCTTATTATGACTGGATGTGTGTTTGCGTGGATATTTGCGACCCATAACTTACCTTCGTTTTAAAATACTGTAAATATACAAAATTTCGGCGCTGCAAAATTTCGGCACTTCACGATTTTTGACAATTCGGCGGCGATTTATTTTCGGCATGGGGTAGAGGGCATGGTATAGTGCGACAGATGCTGTGAAAACTTTCATCGGCGTTTTAATTTAGGCGTTTTGGGTCGGTGCCGAATATAGCCGAAATTAAATAGCTGCCGAAAATTGGTATATTTACAGTAATTCTCGTAGCTATGCAAAAGATGTTACTTCGGCAACGTCTGGCGCTAGCCAGGGTCCACACAGCTTTAATTCCGTGTTTGTTTGTTTGTTCGTGCCATTGACATGCCTGGCGCTATCCCGTACCTGTCCCGTACCATGCCATCAAGGTGTGTGTTTGTTTGTTTGAATTGTGCCGTCGCCCATCGGCGCCATGCCTGGCGCTATTCCGTACCTGTCCCATATCGTACCATCAAAGACAGCTAACCACAATATTCAAATAGGGCTTTCAAATGCAAGATCATAACGTGAAGCAACTTTGAAGAATGAGTATGTATGCGAAGTGTATCGGGGGAATGCATACAGGGCGATAGTGCGGGTTTGAATCTTATAGGTATGTCTTAAAGATTGGAGAAATGAAAAAATTATAACATTCCTATGCTTTTTGCCTAGGTCATCAAGGTGGTAGACGGTGTCGTATTACCCTCGAATGCAAAGAGAAAGTTAATTTCAGCAAGGTAACGACCGCAGACTTCTGGCCTTCCAAGGTCACGGTTCGGCCATGGAGGTTCAGCGCTGACACCCTTCAACGATGATCCTGAACTGTCATGCTAACAAACCAACAATCCTGAACTGTCATGCTAACAAATCAACACACACAACGATGCAGCAACAACGACTAAATCCCAACGCCCCTGTATTCACCCCACGATCGAAACTAGCCCACCCGCTCTATCCCGCTCAGACCTTCCTCTGGCCGACCCGCACACATTGCATGTATGAACGCTAGATCAATTTAAAGGAATAAGCATGGAGAACTTTCCGAGTTCATCGAGCAGTACAAGCCCGACGTTATTGGCATCACTGAAACATGGCTGTCTCAGCCTAACT